CACACACACACACACACACACACACAAACACAATGCAGTAAGTCTTAAATTCCATTAAAAAACTATAACAAACTAATGCTAAAAGAAGAAAGGCGGCCATAAAACTTTAGTTTAACCTATAACATACAATTTTATTTTCTCAATAAGCTACTGGCCAACGTTATCACATGAACATAATTTCACATTAGTTAACTTCACGTTAATATAAGATAAGTGTTGCTTGTTAAAATAATTTTAATGTGGTAATTCAATAAGCTGACAAAGTCGTTTGTTAATTGAAACAACAAAGTTTGTTGCCTCCATGTTTATGAGTAAATGTTTCTAGGTTAAACTGGTGTTCAAAAAACTGACAAAAAACACACAGACATACAAACATATATGTTTACCTGCTTGCTGGTCTTTCTTCTTCTCTCGTGAGGTACATCGACTCACAGTGCAGATGTTCCCCGGATCTCTTCCACTCATGGGTTCACTCATGTATTTCTAGCACTTCAAGCGCTCGCACTGTTTCTGCTGCATTGTAGACACACTGTAAGACAAATCCTGACAATGCAGTATTGTGGCAGCATATTATGACAAAACTGTATTCGGATAAGCCACGTGTTCAGGGATTTGGTGGAAAACAAATCGAAATGTAATTTTATAACAAATATCCTGACCTTGGCTGTTGGTCTCCGTGCACGGCTGTGCGTTCATGAGACTCTATTAGCACAGCAGTTCACTCCGACTCGACCAAGTTATGAAAAAAATAAAAAAATAGACTATATTTTAATAATAGATTATAAAAACGATATAGTTTTGTGACACATTTACAAAGTAATTCTTTCCTCTGAACTTCTGTTTCAGTCACTTCATATTTCTGTCTTTCTTCACAGATTTACCCACATCTTCACTGACTGTGACTCCAAACAGTGTTTTTGCTGGAGAGAGAGTGAGTCTGAAGTGTGTGATTGAGTCTTACAGTAACTGGAGATATGAGTGGTATAAAGACAGCACTAAAGTGTCTGAGCGTCACACTGGAAACACTTTCACTATTGAACGATCTAAATCATCTGATGAGGGTCAGTACACGTGTAGAGGACAGAGAAACGGAAGACCAAACTCATCACAATCAAGCTCTGTTTCTCTCTCAGTGATGGGTGAGTTTAATATCATTGTACTCATAAATGAGCCTATTTGACTAATCATATTAAAAGTTGTAAACATATATACAATGGGTTTTTTTGAGTCACTTTGTTATTTTAATCTTTTTTTACTGTTTTATTTTGGTTGTTTTTATTTTTTTAATATTTATTTGAATGTTATCTTTTTTTCTGATTTAATTATTAGCTTTTCATTAACTCACAAACCCCAGATTGGGAGACCCTTCTTTATAGGACAGATACTGTGCAGTTATATGATCAATTAATGCAGTAATGTGTCAGCATATTATGACAAAAATTGAGATAAGAGAAAACAACTGGCACGATTCATGGAGTGACTACCTCCGCTCATCACAGCGCCACCTCGTCTGTTTTGAGAAAGGAGAGGCGCAGCAGCATCACTGGTGCTCACCTCATCATCACAGCTGCCGTTAAATGCTGCACATATTCCTCCTAACTTTTCTTTGTCTGACACCGAGCTGAGGGACGGATCCACATTCAGACTCCAACGGGCGTAAACTTACAGGCCGCCACGACCCTCACACGCTGCCGGTGTTGCACTTTATGTTAGTTAAACCTCCTTACCTGTACATTTAAAGTTAATCCCTAATACAGATTTAAATCTGAGTTTAAAGTTATGGAGCAACGGAATTGAAATTAATCTTAAATACAAATAAAATCCAGTGTCAAAATGATGGTTTAAATTTAAACCTGCTTATTTTTAAACAAGGTTAAAGATTGATGCAACAGAATTATTGGATAAACCTTGATTTAATCTAGATTTAAGCTTAATCCTTTATGGTGCAACCCACCACAGCAGTGCTCCCATTGGCACACGTCATATATTCGGATACGCCACATGTTCAGGGGTTTAATAATATAAAATTATTATTAAATTATTAAATTATTTGGTGGAAAAACAAATCGACATCTAACATTTTATAAGAATACCATGACTTTGGCTGTTGGGCTCTGTGCACGACTAAGTGTTCATGAGCCTATTAGCACAGCAGTTCACTCCGACTCGACCAGGAAAAGCACACAAGTTATGAAAAAAAAAATATATATATACTTTTACAACAATTATTTTACACTTAAGTAAATTCTTAGCAGCGTTCTTGAGAGTAATTCTCAGAGGCTTGATAAATACAGGTCCTGATCTGCGTGTGTCATTAGTGAGAGAGTTTAGTACAGATGAGTTTTGTCCTGAAGTTAGAGAGAATGAAGAGACTTACAGATAATGATGTTAAATGAGTTCATGAAGTCTTCATATAGTCTGTTGAAGTTGATTGAGAGTCAGTTGCTCCTCATATGAGGTTGTAGTTGGAGGTCTTCAGCTCTTCTTCAGCAGGAGCTTCATTCTGCTTTCTATGATGAGTCAGAGGTGTTTGTCTGAGGACGTGACGGAGCCAGAGCCTCCAGAAAACTAATGACAGGACAAAAGCAAAACAGAAGAAATGTTATGAAATATGACATAAAATAATGTATGAACTATCGAGTTTTGTAACACATTTTCAACAATATATTTTTATTGTTTGAGTCACTTTTTTTTCTTCACAGATTTACCCAGACCTACACTGACTGTAACTCCAGACAGTCCTGTATTCACTGGAGAGAGAGTCAATTTGACGTGTGTGATTGAGTCTGATTACAGTAACTGGAGATATGAGTGGTATAAAGGCACAGACAGAGTAATGCCACATACGCCTAGAGCCAGAGCCTCCAGAAAACTAATGACAGGACAAAAGCAAAACAGAAGAAATGTTATGAAATATGACATAAAATAATGTATGAACTATAGAGTTTTGTAACACATTTTCAACAATATATTTTTATTGTTTGAGTCACTTTTTTTTCTTCACAGATTTACCCAGACCTACACTGACTGTAACTCCAGACAGTCCTGTATTCACTGGAGAGAGAGTCAATTTGACGTGTGTGATTGAGTCTGATTACAGTAACTGGAGATATGAGTGGTATAAAGGCACAGACAGAGTAATGCCACATACGCCTGAGCGTTACACTGTAAACAGAGACACTCTCTCTATCAGAGGAGCTACTGAGTCTGATCAGGATCAGTACATGTGCAGAGGACAGAGAGATGAAAGACCAAAATCATCACAATCAAGCTCTGTTTCTCTCACTGTGATGGGTGAGTTAAATATCATTGTCCTCTTAAACTCAGTCTAAATGTACGGTTACAGATCCGATCGAGAGATTCTCAGATGTTACATTCACACTGCTGATAAATACACTTGTCACTCTTCTTTTGAGAATTTAATTCTGTTTTATACTCTGTTTAAAATTGATTTAATTCTATTTGATAATATTTTAACTTGCTAATGGGTTGTTTACACGTGTTCAAAACAGTTAGAGCAAATAACAGTGAAACTAATTGCAGGAATCTTAACATGTATTTTAAATTTGAAGTATGAGGGGTAATCTTAAAAACACAAAACTCATGGCTCTATAATCCTGATAAAAACAGAGACACGACAGACGACACAACAGTTAAAGGCTTCTATCTGACAGACCTGGGACCGTTTTCATGAAAACTCTTAGTGCAAAGAGTTGCTCCTAGTGAAAAAATTCAGAGAAAATTCTTAGATACAGTAAGTGGACGTTTCCCCTTAAAATTAAAGAGAAGATCCTAGTAAAGATAAAAGTTATTCACAAAGCATCTTAACTCTTAAAAGTGTTAGGAGTAGGGAGGAAGACTTTTAAGAGGCTTAAAAGTTTCTTTAGAAGAGGAGAAAATGGCTGAAAGATGAAGAGGGGAAGAAATGTTGCAGACAATGGATGACAGTGTTAGATGATATTGTGCAGGGATCATGTTTGTGACCGATCTTATTAGAGACACAACATCTATCTATGTGTGTGTGTGTACAGTGCTTATCAAATTTATTAGACAACCACCCAATGTAAGGTTTGTGCCACACTGAATAATATATATATATTTTTTATATTTCTGTAATGGTTAATCCACCAGTATGTGTGAGCTCTTTAGTCACAGTAGTGTTTATAATGCTAAAATATAATTATTGTTGACATTCAATGGATTTAAAGATAGATCACACAAGTTTCATCAAAAGTCGTTGAGAATAACTAGAAACTATTTGGAAGTCAGTAACAACAGATACTCTGGAAAAGTACATAAAAACAATGCCAGCAAGAATGCAAGCTGTTTCAAGACCAAATGAGGTCATACAAAACAAATAAAAATTGTGAATAAAGACTATTTAATTGCTTAGTTGACTATTTTCATTTATTTGTTATTTGCCCAATGAATGGCAACACAATTTTTTGTTTAAAAAAAGTTTTTTACTGATTCCTAAAATATTTGTTTCTTTCTCTTTATTATGACTATATTATTTATATCTCTTTCTAATACATTTGTTAAGGTGTGTGTGTGTGTGTGTGTGTGTGTGTGTGTGTGGGGTAAAACAGGAAAAATAGACTCTTGGACAACCAATCACTGTCTTCAAAAGAATGTGTCATTCTTTGATTTCTAGAGCTCTCTGAGAGGATTCTTAGGAGGATTCTCTGTGTAAACTTCCACTCTTAAAAATAAAGCTTCTTTAAAAAAAAAAATTGTGAATAAAGACTATTTAATTGCTTAGTTGACTATTTTCATTTATTTGTTATTTGCCCAATGAATGGCAACACAATTTTTTGTTTAAAAAAAGTTTTTTACTGATTCCTAAAATATTTGTTTCTTTCTCTTTATTATGACTATATTATTTATATCTCTTTCTAATACATTTGTTAAGGTGTGTGTGTGTGTGTGTGTGTGTGTGTGTGTGTTTGGGGTAAAACAGGAAAAATAGACTCTTGGACAACCAATCACTGTCTTCAAAAGAATGTGTCATTCTTTGATTTCTAGAGCTCTCTGAGAGGATTCTTAGGAGGATTCTCTGTGTAAACTTCCACTCTTAAAAATAAAGCTTCTTTATTGCTATTGATGCTTCCATGAAGAACCTCTAACATCCATGGAAACTTTCTACTGCACAACATTATTATACAGTGGGGAAAAAAAAGTATTTAGTCAGCCACCAATTGTGCAAGTTCTCCCACTTAAAAAGATGAGAGAGGCCTGTAATTTTCATCATAGGTATACCTCAACTACGAGAGACAAAATGAGAAAAAAAATTCCAGAAAATCACATTGTAGGATTTTTTAAGAATTTATTTGCAAATTATGGTGGAAAATAAGTATTTGGTCAATAACAAAATTTCATCTCAATACTTTTTCTTAATTATCTTGTTATTTCTTGTTTATAAAAAATGTATTCATTTATTTACTTTATGGCTGATTTATTTTTATTGTGTTATATATTCATTATGTATGTATATTATAATCATGTGATGGCCAGGGCTTTGGCAATACTGTAGAAGTCATTCCAATAAAGCTCATCTGAATTTGAGAGCAAGAGAGAGATAATGTACTAAACATTAGAATTAAGATTTATTTTAACTGACACCCACAGCAAAGTTTCAATATTATCTCACCTGAAAATCAAAAGTATGTCTTCATCTCACCCTTTTGTTGCTCCAAATGTGACTCTAATGAGTTATGAATGGCGACTGGAGCTTTTGACTGGAGCTTTTTCCTACGTGAAGGCTCGTCAGCTCTGTGTTGTGTGCAAAAGACAAATGGACACTGAACTTCTGTAGCTACTCAAAGACTCTTTATTTCTGCACAAATGGGAAATTTCTGTTAACCAGGTTAACCAGTCATTAGCCTTTACTAGTGGAAATAGTTCCTACTTAATCATCACTCTCTTCTCCACATCTCTCCTCTTTGACATAAGTGTCACACAAATACAGGAACTCAGATGATCAGATCACGTTTCTGACTAGTTCACTGAAAGAGCTCTGTCTTCTTTCTTCACAGATTTACCCAGACCTACACTGACTGTGACACCAAACAGTCCTGTATTCACTGGAGAGACAGTCAATTTGACGTGTGTGATTGAGTCTTACAGTAACTGGAGATATGAGTGGTATAAAGGCACAGACAGTGTAATGTTACAGACGTCTGAGCGTTACACTGTAAACAGAGACACTCTCACTATCAGAGGAGCTACTGAGTCTGATCAGGATCAGTACTGGTGTAGAGGACAGAGAGATGAAAGACCAAACTCATCACAATCAAGCTCTGCTGTTTATCTCACTGTGATGGGTGAGTTAAATATAATTTTTCTCACTCTACTACATAGGGCCGGGCGATAAAATGATAATTTATAGTGATAATTTTCCTCGATAAAACGATATCAAGAGTTATATAAATGTTCGATATAATGTTTAAACGGCAGCACAGTGCGAGCTCACAAGAGCAGATGTGTTACTCGTGACACTAATCAGCTGTGAGATCCAGAGCGAAGCTTCAATTCAGAGAAGAACACAAATGACTCGCTGATTTAAACTAGATTCAAACCAGATGAAACAGCGCTGACAAACAAGAGAAACACTGTGTGCAGCGATACAGTCAGAAGACTTTTCAATCCACAAATCACCATCATTTACCATGAATTTACTGTAGTAACGCTAAATGCACCATGCTATTGTGGAAGAAGTGTGGGATATTAATATCCAATTTTGTCATATAATTAATGTAAACATTAATTAAATGTGTTAAATGAGTAATGGAATATAATTACAGGCTTTATTTGTTATTAATTTATAGCGTTTGTGCATTTATAATAAATATATTTAGACTACTGTTTTTCATAATAGAAACCATAGGCATATAGTTACATTTTTACCATGGTATTGAGGTGCTGTATGTCTGGTTTAAACTGTGGTTATGATGATCTAGAACAGTGGTTCATTTTAATAAAACACAAACAGTCAGAATAATTAAATTTCAACATATAAAAATTAAGTTGTTAGAATATTTACAGATGTTACTGATTTTGATAATGAACATACATTAACATCTACATCCTAACTCAATTCAAATGTGCATTTCTAAGAGACAAAAAAAAAAGTTATATTATTTTTGCAGCCTGCACTGCCAACTGTGCTGAAGATACATGTCAAAGTCAGGCAACACAAAACTGTTTCATAATTTGATACAATATCACTCATTAGAACATGCAGAAACTAAGAAATATTTTTTTCTATTAAAATAATAGTTTTGTTAAGAAAAAACTGACTGTAAACGTGTAAAGAATTCAAAAACGTGTAGTGTGTGTCATGTTTTGACCATAAAGAGTTTAAAACCACAATTAATGGTCTGGTTTCTACAACTTTCACTTATGGAGCAGAAATCTGCCTTTAAACCTGAAAGAAATAAAGATTTAAAATGTATCATGATAATTATTGTTATCGACTGATATAAAAAAATTTTATCGTGATAATTTATTTGGTCATATCACCCAGCCTTACTACTACATGAACACATACAGCATCCAGATTTCAGCTCAACAACAATTGATATTTTGCAAACTTAATTCAAATTGAAGTCTGATCAAACTTTAAAGAAAGGTCTCTTGTGGTTGATAATTATTATGCATCGCACATTTTAGTAAATTTAGTCAGTCATTCTATGGAGAAACTTCTGTTCACAGTCCACCTCAGGCGTCCTACACTTTACATGTAAACTGCAGACATAGTGAGGGTCGTACAGTTGTGTGCTGAACCAAACCCTCAATCTCTGGTGATGAACACAAAGACCAAGTATATACTGCAGCTAAATTCAGTTCAGAATGCAGTTGTCAGTTTTGTATAAGTAACCAAACTTTGTGTTCAGCACTGAATTAGAGTGATAGAAGCGTACACTGTTTAAAAGCGTCACCTCAATATTGAATGACACTCTGATGATGGCGTGTATTTCGTCCTATTTTTGCCTGAAATATTTAACTTCATAAGGTTACAGATTAACTTTCTAAAAAAAAAATAACCATTTCTCAGTAATTAGAGTAATAATTTCCCCCAAAAAATGAAACATGTCATCATTTACTCACACTCATATTTGT